TAGATGACGATCCACACTTTGACGATTAACTTTTAAGCTACAACAACAGGATTAACCCATGACAGAACATTTATGTTTCCAAGAGACATTACCGGCTGTCGTTGAAACAATGGAGGATGGTGTACAGATCACCGAGGGCGGGGTCTATGCCACAACCACACTGTCAATCAAACCCCTTGCTCAATTCTACGTCACAAAGCGCTGAATCTTAGAACAGCTCGTTCTAAGACAGTGCATATGATTTATTGAGATTGTAAAAAAAACACTGGGTGGATTTATCATTCTAGGGTGGTTTTGCTCATACACTGCCAACACACATTTATGTTCAAACACCATGTAAAATTGAATTTTCCATAATTGGTGCCCTTTAAGGAGTGAATATAGCCAATAAACATCCTATTGTTTACAATGTTTTTTTTTTATTTATATATATATATATATTATACAACATCTTAACATTTTTGTTTTAAAACAATCTTTGAATGAAGAACAAAAAATGTGTTGGTCATCACATAAAAAAAAAATTAATTAAAAAAGCATTTACAATATGATTTTATAGTTTTGAAGTGCTAGAAAAAGATGTGTAGGCTACTTGTTAGCGTTTGACTATTTCGGTCACATTATCATATTTATGGTTAGAGTTACTTACTACATTAGCCTAAATCCATGGTGAATGTTGCTTATCTTATGAGTGTTTCTCCTGGTTTCCACGTCAGCGCTGTTTTGATGTCTGGTTTATAACAGAACTCTGCGCCGAATCGGAATGTTTCTCACTAGTTCTTGTAGTGATCGAATTCTATTGATTTCTTCACAGGATCTCCTAGTAACATCGCGTGAGCAAGATCGGCCCAAGTTCGGGGCTTTATTTTACTGTCAATGGTTCGGCGCTGCTTCAAAGATATACATAAGAAAGGCTATGTGCTGCTCTGGTCCGGTCTGTGAAGCATAAATGAGTAGCATATTTTGGATACACTTTCATTTTGTTTGCATTTGCTGCTTGGTAACGAGTCGATCAATCGCTCATTGCTCAGACGCACATAGCAGGTTGTGATATTTGTCACTGTCTCCTTCCCACAGAAGTTTATGTGCGCTCCCTATTTTTGTCACACTCACTCATTCCAGATTCACCGACGCACACCTTCCACGATTAACGTGTGGCAAATTTACTGGTCTCACATGTGTGACTGGATGTAAAATTCAGTCGCACACTCTCAAATTTTGGTCGCAAAATGCAACCATTTGGTCGCAGTCTGGAGCCCTGTAAATGATTCTGTAAATCCAATGATCATATGCTGTATTGGTCTCGGTTTTCAGTGATAGGGACATGACTAGTGGGTGGTCTGTGTGTGCAACCTTCAAAACTAAACATATATTATGGCGCTTTTCCACTACACAGTACCAGCTCGACTCGACACGACTCAGCTCACCTTTGTTTGGTAAGTTTCGGGTACTTTTTTTAGTATCACCTCCAGCGGGGTTTTGAGCGAGCTACGGCAAGCTAGTGCCGCATTCCCACCCGTGAACTCGTACTAGATCAATGTCCTCCCAGTTACGAGCTCTGACGTCACATTGCCCGCGAAACCATGCAAAACAACAATGGCAGCCCCTATAGATTCAGTGTTTCTACAGGCAGTACAGGGTGAGAATACACTTTAGGACAACATAACGCAAACTAGTTTTCAGTCCATTGAGAGCAAGGATAAATTAATATTAAATACATTTCCAAATACAAATTAAGTAAAATAAAAGGTAGAACAGCTTATCTTGCCTTATGCACCGTTTTTCCTCCTCCATTTCCTTCAAATAAACAAGGAGTAAGCACCTTTGGTGACAGAAATGCGCATAAGCCCCGTAAGGTCCGCCATGCTGGTTTGTTTACATCTAGCTACCACAATTCCTTGCACTCAGGTAGTTTGGCGTGACTGGCCTGGAATGCTACAAAGTTGTGAGTCGTGGTTTGAAGTAGTGATTTACGTGCTCAAAAATCTGCCTGGAACGTAGCATAGGCCGGTACTAAAATGTGACGTGAAAACAATCCCGACTGCTGATTGGTCAGAGAGAATCCTCACCATTCACCAGTACCAGCTCGTGTTGAGTCGAGCTGGTACTGTGTAGTGGAAAAGCGCCATAATATATGTTTAGTTTTGAAGGTTGCACACACAGACCACCCACTAGTCATGTCCCCATCACTGAAAACCGAGACCAATACAGCATATGATCATTGGATTTACAGAATCATTTACAGGGCTCCAGACTGCGTCATCATTACACGCGCCAGATGGAGTATCCAGAATATCCCTGCCATTTTTAAATAGTTTGGGCAGAGACAGTTTCTAAATGTATTACTATTATGGCAACGGAAGAATACACCATGGTCAAACGAGGAGGGGCAGACATTCCTTTGTTTGGTTGCCGAAGAGAGGATCCAGGGAGATCTTGATAGGGCAGCGAGGGAACGAAAGGCGTCGCTATGATGATCGGGTACTATTTGTGGCGGTACTGTCTGCAATGGAAAACGGAGCGAAAAGCGAGCCGAGTTGAGGCGAGCCGAGCTGGTACTGGTAGGCTTTCTTAAAAAGGAAAATGTAAAAAATAAAATGGCAGTAGGTAGAATCAATGAATTATTAATAATTTACTGCCAGTGTGAAAATAACATTTAATCAGCGGTGTAAAGTAACGAATTACAAATACTCACGTTACTGTAATTAAGTAGTTTTTTTCAGAAATTGTACTTTGAGTAAGTTTAAAATTGTGTAATTTTACTTTTACTTGAGTACATTTTAAGTGATGTATCGGTACTTTTTCTCCGCTATTTTCCTTCCGTTTGTGGACGACTTTGTAGCTTTCCAGGTCATTCACGCCAAACTACCTAGATGTAAACAAACCAGCATGGCGGACCTTGCGGGGCTCACGTGCATTTGTAATAATTGCTAACGCCAAAGGTGCTTACTCCTTGTTTATTTGTGGAAAACTGAGGAGGAAAAATAGCGCATGAGGCAAGATAAGCTGATATACCTTTTATTTTACTTTATTTGTATATTTGGAAATGTATTTTCTATTAATTTATCCATGCACTCAATGGACTGAAAACTAGTTTACGTTATGGTGTCCTAAAGTGTATTCTCACCCTGTACTGCCTGTAGAAACACTAAATCCATAGGGGCTGCCATTGTTGTTTTGCATGGTTTCGCGGGCTATGTGACGTCAGAACTCGTAACTGGGAGTACATCGAACTAGTACGAGTTCACAGGTGGGAAGTCACGGGTTTGACTGCCGTTCCAGTGCACTTTCACGGGTATAAGGTTGGAAAAACACGAGTTACAGGTTGCCTGGAATGCGGCATAACTTCCCTATTTAATGCACAATTTTCCTTTCAAATGACATTATCAGCACAATGTGAGTAAATGTAGCCGTGTAAAATGTAAGGGATGATGCCACCCTTCTAGAAACAATGTGCATTTACGTTTAAATTGTAACATATTTAATAGCATGGAATTAAAGTTTGTAATTAGTGCTAGCTCACTATCTTAGCCTTTTTCAGTGCATTAGTTGAGGTAATCTGATAATATTAGTGATTCTCATTTATCAAAACACTAACATTTGTACCGTTTTGGAGAGATTTTTTAATCTCTCTATTTAACCCATCTCTTGGTGTGTGATGCTGAACTATCATATGAGTTTCTAAAGGTTTTTGAATTCTTTGCACAGTTATGAATATTGATATTTTATGTGCAACAATAGCATGCTCAGGCCCAGTGGCTTTTCGCCTAATTTTAAATGCTTTTTTCCCCCAAATAATATGATTTAATGTGAGTGTGCTGATTTGATGCATTTTAAAAATATATTCTTCAATCTTTCTTACAAAGAACAAAATATAATGTGAATTACAGTATGTGCATTTTTTTAATAGCTTGTTTTCATGTGACGTCAATGCAGATGGAGGGCAGGAAGTGAATTTCTATATTTAAGAAGCACTATAACACACTCAAAATGCCTATGTTTTGCGTCGTTTATGGTTGCTCAAATCGATCAAACCACGAGGAGTTTTTATCGTGTGCCAAAAGTTGTTGATCATAAGGGGGGGGAAAATACAAGAAATTGACAGAAAAACACCGGGGAAAAAATGCCTTGCAAACCTACTGCAGTCTGCAGTCAGGAGGAGCCGAATGAGAAAATGCCTGTGTGTGTGTGTGCAGTGATCACTTCGTCAAATGTGAGTTATTACATTATTTATGTGGCTTATAATTACATTATTCAGGTGTTTAAATACACTTATGTGGCTGTTTGTGTAACGTACCAGTTTCCAAACTTTGTAAAGTCAAAGTGTGTCTGTAAGACGAGTTACTGATATCTACAGCCTCGATGGCAGGCAAATCTCTCAATTCAGTTGAAAATCGGTCCTCTTCATAATGTAAGGATCACGTCCAACATATGTTTCGATTTTCTGTTGATATATTTCTCTTGTAACAGCGTCTAAAGTAGTACATTACGGATTTTCCTCCACCTTGACCATTGCACTCTTCACTCCTCGCCCTCCATCTGCATTCCGGGCGTCAACACAATCACGTGACTGCAAACCACCATGTATAAATTGTAGAGCACACAAGGGGTAGAATCCGCACCTCAGTACTCACTACTCATGAGTACTTTTAAATAAGCTACTTTTTTACTCTTACTCAAGTAGTTTTTTGGACAAGTACTTTTTACTCTACTCACACTATATTTTTTGGAATGTAATGGTACTTTTACTTGAGTATGTTTTTTCAGTACTCTTTCCACCACTGCATTTAATCAAAAAAACATTTCTGGGTCTGATTATGGTTATCTTAAAACGTAATATAATCTAATTACAGGTACTTACCGTAATTTTTGGAATCTGACCACGTAATGCAAATTACATTAAATCAGTTACTACCCAGCACTGACATTGCAGATACACACATCTTTATCAATGTTAAAATAATACAAAGTGCCCCCCTAATCTATAATCAATTATTTACCTTGTTTTTCTTCTGTTTCAGGATTTTCTCTCAGAGAGGAAGTGGAGTCCACATTACTGTCTTGCCTGTAAATATTAATGAACACATGATCAAAAGTTCAATGACAAGTTGAAATTTTAGTTTAATAAATAATTCTAAGAGTTCTGACTTACTGGCTGTCTGTTAAGTTATTCACTTCAGGTGCTGCAGAGACTGATAACTCTTTACCTTTACAAACAAAAAAATAATAATAAAGCCTTCATCACAAGAGAAAAGATAGCAGACTTATGGTGCATAAATATCAGTAATCAGGATACTTCAGGATTTAGCATTAAGCTTTGTATTAGTAGAAAACCTGTAGTATTTTCAAATTACCATGCTTTCCACCCTCATATCCCCCTGAGAGAAGAGATTTATGTATTTTTTTGTCTGGAAAAAATCCTCAGATGACGCAAAATGATGATTTTTACATGTACAGCTTTTGTTTTAATCTATCTGAATTCATTCCGATTGATGAATCTGAATCTAGTCTTTAAATAAACGCTAAAAAAGTGATCGGTTGTGCGTTTTATCATTGCTAAGAAAATTCATGCTCCTCTGTGAGAAACGAGACCGGCGCGTCTCACAGGTGTCTCTCATCGGTAATCACGCCACCGGCCTCGCGTCATTCTCCCGCGGCCCTCACTCGTCCTGTCACAGTAAGCATACTGAATGGTGACTGTAGAACGCAAAAGCCGAATCCCCAACATTTTGGGTGATCTCGAAATCCCGAGCAGACTCATCACGGAGACTCGCTAGTAGGGCTGGGTATTGAGACAAATTTCACAATTCGATTCGATTTCGATTCACAAGCTTGCAATTCAATTCAATTTCGATTACGATTCAATTCGATTCAATATCGATTATTTTGGATATCAGTTACAATAAATGGCAATTTTTCTCAAGGGAATCAAATCTCTTAACTAATGCTGTAAACTATGGGAGTTGTAGCCTATAGGCTTCATTAGCCTAATATGAAGGTAATAATGAACTGTTTTGTAGCCATACAAACACTTAAATTACACTTTTATTTATTTTTATAATAAAAAGATTATATGAAATATAAACATTTAAATGGTGGCTGTCATAAAAACTTGACAGATTTATTCAAATATGCATTAAATATTGAAGAACACTAACGAGTGTGGACTAACGAGTTTATGTGGGTTTTCTGAGGTAAATATGACGATACATGACATTGATTACAAGCTGTTTAACTGACGTCTTTCCACGGTTGAAACGCTGATTGAGTGAATCAATGTGATATGACAGGGATTTCGATAAGTGGTACTCTATCTTTAACACACTTTCAGATGCTCATTCATGTTTATTTGGCGCTGTAACTGGTATTATTAACCCGGAAGAGAGATCAGCGCTGCTGCTTCTCTAGAGCTGCGCCAGAGCGATCTCACGCCACAGCGCCAAAACGCTATTTATGTTTCTGAATTTCTAAAGAAAATGGACGAAATTTGAAAATTGAGACTTTGTTTCATATCAATAGTAACAAAGGACAAAGATTATTGCGATTTTTTGGATGCGCGCAGCCGCTATACAATGATCCATTCATTCAAATGAAACAGGATGACTAATCGATTCTTGAGATTTAAGAATCGATATCGGTTCGTAAAAATGAGAATGATTAATATCGAGAAATCGATATTTATTACCCAGCCCTACTCGCTAGTAGCCTAGACTTGTCATTTAACTACTGCGCTCTTTTACCGGTAGGCGTGGCCTCCTAGGGCAGTGAAGCAAATGCATTCTGGGAGTTGTTGTCTTTCATCCAAATAAGCCAAAAATACATTTTGTGGCTTTTCTCAGTCTAGAAAGCTCCAAATTCAAAAATAATTTAATATTTCTTCTACAAAAATAACCCATTTTAAATACACATTCATCTTTTCGGAGGTGAAGTATCCCTTGCAAGTTTATCTGGACAACTCGTTATGAAATCAATGACGCACGTTACACTGTACACAGAAGCTCTTACTTACTCTATGTACATCATAGCGTTTGCACTGGTGAAAGCATTAGAGAGAGTGCAGAGACTGCCTTACAAAGACAAGATCTTCATTCTCGCGATCAACAACATTTTATGTGATGGGAATAGATCTATTCTAAATACTTCAAAAATTTCTCACAATTCAGTAATCTCAATAGCTGGAAAAGCAAAAACATATAATAGCTGTAGTAAAAGTATTCGAGAGAGTTTAACATGTAATATGTAGCTATTTCATATGCAAGCATGGCAGCCAATTACAGCAGTGGGCGGTACACTGAAACCCACAGCAGACACGCCCCTTCAAACAGAGCGTTCAAAACAGAGGCTAAAATCAGGCTAGGAAAATGCCCTTTATTACTAAATTATGACTATTTTTAATCTAAAAAACATACCAACACTACAAAGGCAACTTAGGAAACATTATAAAATAATAAAATAACCCCATGTCAGGGGACCTTTAAGGACTGTATCAACGGGCAAAAGGCAGTGTTCAGATAAAGATTATGCTAGGCTGAAAATCATACAAAAAGAAGGAGACAAAGACATTGAGCATCAATTCACCACATTGAACACAAAAAAACTGTGGAACTCAATGAAGGTTGTTACTAATATGGAATCAAGTAAATCACAAATGTAATGAACTGACTGATTTTATCTCCAATTTCAAAACCATGATTTTTCTGACAAATGTTAACTATCCGAGGCTCTCTGAAAGACAACTTAAATTGGAGGTAGATCATATTCAAGTGCAATTACTGTTCAGTGGCACACAGATATCTAAAGTATCTTTTAAAAACCACTATTCCCTTCTTTCAGCGTTCTCTAGACTTGCAAAGAGTCCTCCTCTTGCAAAAGGATCTGTGATTATGCTGAGCCCATAGAATCTGTCCTCAAAGTGTTTTAACTAATATAACTCAACATGTTAAGGTTAATTATAAAATGATACAATTTAATAAGGCAATTTCTGATCCTCAAGTCATCAATTCAAGAGCTCCCAAGTTCTCTTTACATTGTATACAAATAGCTGTGCGAGCAAAGCCACTCACACATCAAAATATATCATCTTACCACTCTAACAGTTAGTATAGTGGTGTGATACCCATCACATTATTGTGAATGAAGAAAACTGAGATTTTTATTTAAAGTTAATTAGAGATCACAGTCCATTACTTATTCACAATGTTAAGACAATGTGACGCGAATAGTCACGTGAACAAGCAAATCCACAAAGATAGAATAGGCTAATAAAATATAATACGTACGCAAATTAGATGGTTTAATTTGGAAAACATTTATGACTAAGTCGAAGTGTCATCTAAAATTTAAGACCTTTCATAAGTAAAAATAAGACTTTATAAGACTTTTTATGGCCTTATTTAAAAAATCTAATTTAAGACTTTTTAAGGATCCGCGGGAACCCTGTTATAAAAATAAACAAATTCACCCCCCCTCACAGTTGTCATGAAGGGAAAAATAGCTATATATAGACCAAAAATTTGGAGCAGTTTTTGCACCAGGCTGTAAACATATTTTGTTCTGCTGTAAAGTTGGGTATTTTAACATGGAGGAGATATAGATTTGACTCCCCTTTTGCATCCAGCCTCAAGCAGCCAGTCGATGAATTGCAGTTTAAGTCACTTCCGTGTTGGTTTCAAGAGAGACAGGGAGGTTGCCGCTCGGTTAAAACACAACCAACATGACAAGAGAATGACCAATGTTTGATTCGAGTGTTCAGACACAGGTCAAAATTCACACAGCGTGAAGATGAATCGGATATTTACCCTCCAAAATCTCCAGCAGATGAATCTCAGAGAGTTCCTGCAGCTGATCCCAGCACAGTTTCTTAATCTCATTAAAAGAACAGTCCTGCAGGAAACAACAAGGTGTTATAATAGCCTATACAATTAATTATAACAGCCTATACAATTGAATTATTTTTATGTTTCACTTTTTACTCACTCATCTAAAGCAAACTTAAATGTTTAATTGTAAATGCAATCTTAAAAAACATAGAAACTCTAAAAACTGATGTTGTTTTTGGTTAAATAACTAATTCAAATTTGACTCTCCAAGACAGTGTGACAAGCAATCTGAGCTGTCAAAGGAATAGTACTAAGTAGAGTGAATGGCCTGGTTTTAAAAAAAAAATCTGGTTCCAAACTACACAATTAACCAATTCACATTTGATGTGGCCATATAAAATTGTGATGGATTAAATGACACGACATATATATCATACATATTCCACTTTTATGACAATTTGGGCTGATATCAGTCTCATAATATTGTCTAGGGGTGTCCATGGTTAACCGATTAGGGCTGGGTATCGATTCACATGTTCAATTTCGATTCGATTTCGATTCGCAAGCTCTCAGTTCGATTCGATTTCGATTCTCAATTCCTGGTTTAATTCTCGATTCGACTATTATGAATATAGATGTAATACAAATCCTATATTTATAATACAAAAAAAAGAACTGGACATAAGTTTACTAGTGGTTAATTAATACAAAGAAATTAAAATTATAAAAATAAATTATATTATAAAACTCTTTTTATTTTAGGTAAACTATACACTAAATGCATAGACAGGATTTTGATGCAAGATTGATGCTGAAAATTGGACAAGTCAGAACAGTAGCACAGCTTGATCAAACAGGATCAGGTTATTTTATGTTTAAGATAGATATAGATAAATAAATATATAAATATTTAGACCTTTTTATTACATTGCTCTTACCTAAATGTTTGTTTTTACAATGGGGTAATTTTGTTAAGAGTTTATGCAACACATGTAAGCTTGATTTCAATCTTTGAATTAAATTGAAAAAAGTTGCACAAATAAACACAATAGAATAAAGACACAAATAAAGAGACATATTAAATAAAAAAGTTTTTGGGTATGTCAGAAATACTAGAAACTGAATAAAGTAATCCAATGTAAAATAACACTGGATAGTCTTTTTAGTCCAGACTGAATTAAATAGGCCATTAATTCTGATTGCTTACAGTTAATGCTATATTATGTTGTTATGACAAAAGAATTAATGCCTGAGACATATGGCTGCTTTCACTTTAAGAACTAGTGCACGAATCCACGGTGTGTCACACGCGTTTAATGCTTAAAGACATAACCGACTGTCTTGACGAGGTTACTCACCAAGACCAGAGTTTTGACATCATTTCGCATGTTTTTAACTGTTAAAGTGATATAATCCAGGGAAAAAAAATGTTGTTTCTGGTGAGCTGTTTGTGAGGTGGATTTAGGCTTTACTGTATGTGCACACAGTGAAAGACATCTCTGAGAGTGCGCGAGCACGGGATGGTTTAAGATTGCTTGAATGTTTAAACTGGTAAAACTTAAAAAGACATGAAAATGATAAACGTTAGTTACGATGTAATGCTGGCCCGATTGTAAAAGTGATTAACCATTTAAAATTGCATAACCGAGGGAAAACTTTTTGCATATTTGAATACATATTTGCACAAAACTTTTGCGATTTTTTTTTTTCTGAATGTCGATAAAAAATATTGTGAAATGACGGCGTTTCCATTAACGATGTTATGCGACTAAAACATCTTTTTTTTCCTTTCGCGATACGTCATTCCAAAAATAATGGCAACGGACGTTGGTAGGCTATATCACAGCCACCGCACTAGACATTATTATTATTAATGGAAGGAGACGTGGTGTGTTATCCAAGCATTAATGGCAGGGAAAGACACAGAGTTACTGGATGTTTCTCCCTCATTTCTGCTCTGAGGTCTTGATTGTTGCATTCCTTTGAGGTTTTGTCTAGTAGGCTATTCCTTGTTTCTTTTATGAATTTAAAAAAAAGAACTCTGCCTCATATTATGTCCAAACAGTCAGTGTACTTTTGTGTTCATTCGTTTCCCCTTATTTAATCTGTAGGCCTAATTGCAAAACGAAAAATGAACGGTTGTTGTATTTTTAAAACACAAAGTTGAACATCAAAATGTTCATTTGAACTGTACTGCAAATGCTGCGCAAAAGTATAGGCTATATATGAGACGAATTTTCAGATATTTGTTTGATTTTTTGCCCCTTTAAAGTCCCCGTGAACCGGAAGTTGCAAACGATTTTTCTCCCGTGCTGTGACGTATTATTATTGATGATTATTTTTTATTATTTTTATTATTTGCGGACACGGACCCAAAACACACAAAATGTCGCATTGCAGTTTTGTGAAATATTCTTTTTTCGAATTGCGGCGTTTTTGCGAAATGGACGTGATGTACGTATTTTCAATTGGCAATTTCAGTTTGAAGGGTGATGGAAACGCGCCTACTTTAACTGCTCTGTCCTTACCACTGCGTTTTATTTCTATAAATTAATTTCGTTTCAAATGGGGTCCAACCAGTTATTAAAGGTGTTAAAAATTAACTAATTAAAAATTAACTGCGCTCACATATGGTTAACCGAGTATTAACCGCTAAGGGCCTCGGTTAACGGTTAATGAAAAACTTGAAAATGTGCAGCCCTAATATTGTCTATGGTCTTTCTATCGACACATTCTGACACTATTCTTTACCAGCTCCACCAAAACAAACACATACAGGCTCATCTGATCAGAGATGTAATGATGCATTATGAATGTCAGCAAAATAAAGATACCTTAAGTTCATCTGGCAGCATCTTTTTGAGTTTATTTTCTCCCAGTACATGAAAACACTGTTCCAGCATCTCCTTGCGGTCCTGCATGTAGGCACTGATGGGTTTGAATGCCTTATTTAGGTCCAGTCCGCCCTCCTCCAGATCACTAGGGTCACGAGGAACCTTGGGCTCCTCCTTCTCCTTTCTAGGCTCCTTTCATATTTAACAGAATTTGATTAAACAGTACAAAAGTAATACTTTACAAGAAACAAATTAAAGAAAGCAACAGTGGCCATTAATATAATATGACTGCCATAAGAAAGAAAGAAAGAAAGAAAGAAAGAAAGAAAGAAAGAAAGAAAGAAAGAAAGAAAGAAAGAAAGAAAGAAATTGTATGAGATGTTGGGAGACTAAGAATGAAGTGGGTTTTAAATAAAATACATACATTTGACCTCTAGACATTTCACAACAGCCTTTCATTAGTAAAACTAAAGACACGCAGTGATTGAAAGGCGTGGATATGTTTATTTTTTTTATTCATTTATTTATTTATTTTTTTTTGCGGTTGGCCTTAATGCATATGTTGGACTAAGGAGTTTACCTTTCAGACACAACATGTAACTTATGGAAAAGTATTTAAAATAATCACGCAAGGTGATTTACTAAAGTTTGCGCAAGTCAATATTTGCTCCATTATTTAACGCCCCCAAAAAGGTCTTGAATCAGGCGCTAATTTTCGCTGCTCTTGGCTGACTGCGTTGGTCATTATGGAATGACTCGGCAGCATCTGTGTTCTTTAATTTGCGCGTCAGTAGATAACGCACAGACCTTTCCACTCCTTTCGGCGCTTTTTTTTTTAATTAAATTGCTCTCACGCTAATTTGACCTGTTTATTAAACCTGGCCCTATGTGTTAGCTACAAGACAACTTTACCCGTAACGGCAATAGTAGCCTATTAAACCGCAATCAGTCTCTCTTTCTTAGTGATGTTACGTATGACACTGAAGCTTCGATGCGCGTATCACATATGCGACACAATTTGTAGTGAAGCCCCGTATCGGGGTGTGTATTGGTTTTCCCAGAGTCACGTGATCTATGACAAATGAAGCCTCATTTTCTGTCCGATCACGTGCGAGTTTCGCTTTGGGTGTCAGAAGGCTCGAACTCCAGATCTCATTTAACGAGTCAACGTTGCCTCAGTCTGGTTGATGGGTGTTTGAGTGCTGTACTTTGAAAGTTAATAGCTAAATATAATTCATTAAATAACCAAAATGTATTTTTCACTACTTAGTCTATTCTTTTTTGTTTTGTCTTTTTGTTTTTGTAAAATCTTTGCACTTTGGTGGATTTGGTAATTTGGTGTTGGTATTTGGTTCCTACAGTTACTAAGCACTATCGCCAAGTGTCATATATTTAAAAACAGATGATCCTATCAGACAATGTTATATATTCATTTTGTGGGTGTGTACAGAGAGAGAGAGAGAGAGAGAGAGTAGGCCTACATTAAATCTTATTGAGTAATATATGCTTATATTATATTTTATTGCCACACTTTAATGGGAAAATGAATTTATTAAATGAACAAATCAAACACAAACATGTAAGGTTTTTATTTGTAGATGTAACATTGAAACGCTGTAGTGTGTTGTTGCTTCATATGCCAGAGCTTCTGGCTGCTTTATTTTAAATAAGCACCAGATGGCGCTGTTCTCGACGCTCTCGAAGCTTTGAATCTTTTCCCGGAACAGTCAGTGGAAAGCCTCATTGCTTCATGAAGCTTCATTTCCCCATCCCTACTCTTTCTCACCACCGTGCAGGATTCAATAGTCCTCCTCTTCAGCTCTCCTTCATTGTGCTCTCGATCAGAATGTCCCCGTTTCTTTTCTTTTTCTCTTTTCTTTCCCTCCTGCATATTCCCATTGCTGCTGGAGCGCCGTCGCATACCAATGACGTCAACAAAAAGATAGTCCAATCAGAGAAACCGAAACAAGCACTTTAAGCAATACCTTCAAAATCAATTGGCTCAGACAATTCTTTAACAATCCAACATCACTTTGGAACTTTATTCCAAACTATATTTTCTCTAAAATCGGTGGCCTAAATTTTATGTCATATGTAATTATAATATTAACAAAATCCCAATCAAACTGTCCAATTTTCATAAACACATGCTTTTGGCTTGGTCTCTCTTATTTAAACATAACTTCTCACCTCATCGTTATTACATTTGGAATAATAAGGACATTCTCTACAAAAACAAATCTTTATTTTTTTTTTTTAAACTGGGAATAATATTGTACTTGTTGGGCAACTCTATGACACAAGTGGCAGACTGTACTTGCAGAAATTTCAAATTCCTGTTTTGGTTAAGGAGTATGCAATTGTCTTTGGTGCAATTCCTTCTGGTATCAGAATGTTGCTGGGAGGCATTAATTTCCCATGGCCACTTACTCACAATATGGATTTATCTGATACTGAGGGGAGATTATGCTTTTCTGCAGTGACGAAAAATAAAACTATTAGGGCTTTATACCAAAAGAAATTGTTACTATTCCTTATATAATCCCATATTGGAACAGGTTAGTAGAGAATGTCCCTTGGAAAAACGTTTGGTCTTTGCCTTTTAAATATATGCTTACTAATAAAGTGAGAGAAGTTACATTTAAATTAATTCACAGATTCTACCCAGTAAAGTGTGTGCTTAGGCGGTATAAACCAGATATTGAATCTGAATGCTCTTTCTGTAAAAGGTCAGATGAAGATATTTGCCATTTATTTTGGAAATGTTCATACACAGAAAAATTTTGGTCAGATGTCCTTGAATTTATCCAAACCTTTTTTGTTACGGATTTCTCATTTTGCTTTAAAGATGTTTTCTTTGGTGTGGTCGACCTTAAGACAGACAAGGAAGGAAAGTATTTCATTATTATTTCAGTATTTCATTGATTATCCCCACCACAAATATTATAAATCAATCGATCTCTGTAGGGGAATTCCCAAATGCTTGGAAATTGGCTATTGTTTCCCCTTTATTTAAATCAGGAGACAGAAAAATGATCTCCAATTATAGACCTATTAGCATTCTGCCTGTAATATCTAAGGTTTTAGAAAAATGGGTGTCTCAACAGATTAGGGATCACTTGAATAACTCGTTATGTTCCCTTCATCCGTTACAATTTGGATTTAGGTCAAATTACTCCACTGAGACAGCGAATTGTTATTTTATTGAAAATGTTAAATCGATGCTTGATAGGCACAAGGTTGTTGGAGCTATTTTTTTAGATCTTAGGAAAGCCTTTGACACTGTTAATCACAGTATTTTACTGTCTAAACTATCTCATTTTAACTTTTCTACGAATGCTCTTAAGTGGGTTGCATCTTATTTGTCCCAACGATCGCAATCTGTACGTATTGGCAGCTTTCAATCTGAACCTCTTCAATTGTCCACTGGAGTGCCCCAAGGGTCTATATTGGGCCCCCTTTTGTTTTGCTTGTATATTAATGACTTGCCGCTTGCATGCCCAGAAGTGAGAGTCCAAATGTATGCAGACGACACTGTTTTATATATACATGGAACTTCAAAAGCAGCAGTGGCTGCCAAACTTACAAAGGCTATGTTTAAAATTAGTGAATGGTTAAACCACTGTAGCCTTCAGTTAAATCTCTCCAAAACAGTGGGTATACGTTTTTTAGTAAAACCACCAACTCTGCAGTTGATCCGGACATTTTTATTAACGGTGAGAAAATTCAAATTGTTTCAGAATGTAAATATCTTGGTATTATCATTGACTCCAATCTTAAGTTTAATTCCCAGATTTCAAATACTGTTAAGAAAATAAAATACAATTTATCTAATTTTCGTTATATCAGGAATTTAATGTCTACCCAAGCTGCCAAAATGTTTATGCACTCTATGATTTTTTCACATATGAATTACTGTCTCACTACATGGTCTCAGGCCAACCACTCCGCCTTGCTACCAATACAATCTCTGTATAAACAAACGCTAAAATGTTTTGATAAGAAACCACATCTTTTTCATCATTGTAAAATTCTATCAAAATATAATTTGTTGAGTTGGGAAAACTTTGTTAAGTTTTCAAATGGCTGTTTAGTTTATAAGATTCTAAATGGCCTGGCCCCACCACCTCTTAGTGAGTTTGTGAGTTTAAGGTCGGATAATAGTCGTCTCACTAGAGGTTCCCTTAGAAGGGACTGTGTTATTAATTTTAGGAAAACTGCTTTTAGTCAATCTGCCTTCTCTATTAAAGCCTCAAAAGAATGGAATGACATCCCAACGTCTGTAAATGTGGCTTTTTAGCATGCAAATATGTCAACATTGATTTTTTTTTATTCTATTGTTGTTTTTTTTTGTTTTGTTTTTTGGGGGGTTTTTTTGTAGTTGTTTTGGTTTGTTATGTTTTAATTATAATTGTTGTATGTATATTGTATTTTTAGGTTGCCTATTGTACATCTGGCCCAGGACTGCAGATGAAAACTAGCCTTTTGGCTAACTCTGGCATATTTTGACTTGTCATGTTAATATGCACTGTCCTTGTAATAAATAAAAAAAAAAAATTAATCTTTTATTTCTACTCGCTAAATATCACATCCATAAATGTAAGTTCAGAGCCTCTAAACCCTTCTTTCCTGTGTTTGAAAGTGAAGTCAATGAATACTTGGACTCCATAAGATATTCAAAGAACTGTAAAGCTCTGAAGACTGTGCAGATATACTCAAAACTTGTGACATCGTGTGAGTGAATGAAATTGGATCTCATAACTATATGGTATGTTATGAATTGGACTATATGGTATGCTATGAATTGGCTTGTTGATTAGCCTTGCTGGACTTTGCAAACCCCACTGGATATAATTTATTCATGTATGTACTTTATTTATCTATTTATTATTTATTTATTTATGTATTTATTTATGTATGTATTTGAATGTATTGTTTGTATCTGCAAATGCTGTCAATAAAAAAATAAAAAAAATCTCTTCACCACACCGGTAGTAGGCTAAATCAAATTTAAAAATAAATTCAAAATAAAAGTTCCCTCTTCCTGGGAATTCAATCGTCGAGAAAAAAAAAAAGAAACCGAAACAAGCGCTTCACTACTGGCAGAAATAAAATACAGATATACTTTTACTGTCTATGAGATTTACCAAAAATAGTCTCTGTATTTACTCAGTCAGGATTTACTCAATGCCATATATCAATGCTATAACATGCTTTGTTTTCTAGAACAAGAATTAATTTCACTTTGTTGATAACGTTGAAGCATCAATATAGCATCTTTTCATTATCTTCAACCGAGAGACCAAAATGTTTACATTGTTTACATGTTTACATTGTCGGGGTAGGCTGTCGGCTAACCGTATGTGATTGGCCCTCATGAGCTTTGAGTTGTCAAATGAAATACGATTTTATGGGTTTGGTCCACAAAAACCATAGACAGTAAAAGAAATGGACAGAGCGATCCCATTGGAACTCCATTGAGACGATTGAAGCCCGTTTTTGGCGATTTTTTAGCACTTCCGTCCCTGTTGCGCAGACTCAAACAGAGCTTGACTACGTAGATGTGACGAGGGTAACCCGTCTGTGTTCTAGTGCTGTGGCATGAGAAATCTGAATCATTCCCTTCCGAAACATTCAGAGGCAGAGAGTGTGAATAGGAGCTGTCCATATAGGAGAAGGAGACAATTCTGCTTGGTATTCTGATTAATTATTTTGTCATTTTGCCTCCACATTTCCCCGATCGCACGCGAGCTTCTTCTCCCGTCCATACGGTAATCCCTCTACTGTGCGACAGAGAGTCGCGTGGGTATGACGCAACCGTTAGCCTACTTTCACTAAAACTGCTTCTATGGGGGAAGTCTACTCTACTAACCTGGGGGCATTTTATACATTGCTGTGTTTCTTTAGAAATAAATAAAGGACAAATGGGGTCTTCAAACGCCTCAGATGTAAAGTTATTTGCTGTCAAAGTGACGCCAAAATGAATGGGAGTCAATGGGAATGCTAACGCAAGTGAAGTTCTGCTACAAGCTTTTAGCTATTATGCCAGCTGCAGCTGGAACCAGCTTCCAGAAGAGATCAGGTGTGCTCCTACAGTAGTCACATTCAAATCCAGACTCAAAACACATCTGTTTAGCTGTGCATTTACTGAATGAGCACTGTACTGCTTTAACTGCTTTAATACTGCTTTAATACTCTCTGACTGGAAGAGATTTTGATGGAGAGCGGGAGAGTCTTCACTCCGATGAGGCGAGTGAAGAAGTAAATTACTTATATTGCTGAGAGTATAAGTAGTCGCTGAGAGCGTCATTAAGGGTAATGGCAGCAGAAACATGCTCTGTGGGGGCCCCGCTGGGCATTACTGGTGTAGCACCACCCCAGCAGAGTACGTCCCTGGGCTGGAGGTCCAGTTGCACCGTAAACCAGCTCAATCTCTTCCATCTCATATAGGGGTATACTGGAAGAGATTTTGATGGAGAGCGGGAGAGTCTTCACTCCGATGAGGCGAGTGAAGAAGTAAGTTACTTATACTGCTGAGAGTATAAGAAGTCGCTGAGAGCGTCGTTAAGGGGAGAAAAGTGCTCTGTGGGGGCCCCGCTGGGCATTACTGGTGTAGCACCACCCAAGCAGAGTACGTACGACGCTCTACGTCCCTGGGCTAGAGGTCCAGTTGCACCGTAAACCAACTCAATCTCTTCCACCTCAGATAGGGGTTAACTGGAAGAGATCTTGATGGAGAGCGGGAGAGTCTTCACTCCGATGAGGCGAGTGAAGAAGTAAGTTACTGCTGAGAATATGAGAAGTCCCTGGGCTGGAGGCCCAGTAGCACCGTAAACCAGCTCAATCTCTTCCATCTCAGATAGGGGTATTACTTTATTTTATTTTTACTCTTAACTGTTTTTATTTATTGGTTCCATTTACTGAATGAGCACTGTG